AAATGTGTGTATTAACAGTTGTAACTTTTGCATACTTTTTTCTACTCGCTAAATGCTGCATGTTTTTCATATCTCACAGATGAACTCTAAGGAATGGCATGAGTGACACTCAGATAAAGTGTACTTAGACTCACCATTTCATTGATAAACGAAATTCCTAAGGGCTCTCTAGAAAGTAGAGGCTTTTTTCATCGCTCTCTGGAATGACACTTCATTGCTCTCCATTTTAGGCATATTTCTCCAGGTTTCCTGCATCTGTATTTGCTGTTACCAAAGGATAATTTTTTACAAGTCACAGAGCTTCCGTTATGATTTGGTAAACCATATCATTTATTAGTAATGGTATCACTAAAATCTGAGGGTGATTGGAAGTTTCACAGAACCAGCATTAGAGGCATACACTGTCCAAAACCTCATTGGGCCAGGAGCTTAATTAGAGTGGCCTGAAATAAGCTGCCATTCTAGTTTCATTATTTCATTTTGTTTAAATATGTTTAATGACGCTTTTTTTCTCTAGGGGTAACTAATTTTTTAAAAAAACAATAAAAGTAAAAGAAAATCATTCTTTTCCTGGAACAATATCAGAATTTGTATCTGGCTTAACACATCTGACCTTACAGTCTTTAGAGGAAGTGAACACATGTTCTCTGAGTAATCCCTGGATGAATCTACAGCCCAGGGGAAGAACAGTAAGATCTCATGCCAGTGTTTTTTCCTCCACTGAAATAAATTAAAATAAAAAAGTCATATAAACAGGCTTCTACCCTTTATGATCAGGTGTGGTCTAGTAGAGACCATCCAGGGAAGAGGTTGGCAGTGATGGTGATGATGAGTTCACAAAGGAGAACAGTTGGTGATTTAGAGTGTGTGGATTCCAATGGTGCTGTTCCTTTTGAACGGTTTGTTTGCCCCTGTACTTACTTATTTTGTCATTTCTGCCTATGAATGTGAGTGATGGTAGGAGGTGTGTCCTGGTCACATGTTCTTCTCAATATATAATGCTCGTGAGAAAATTAGGAGACAGTTACCACTGATCCCCATGGCACCATTTCCTTCCATTTCCCTTCTATTGTTAAAAGCTCTGGAGCTACGAGTAAACGTTATTTGAGACTTGAAGACTAGTAAAAAGACTTTATAACTTAAAGAAAAATGAAGGATTCTACTTACTTGTTTCAGACCTTGGGACACAGGAAGCTGAAACTCTTCAGCATAAGTGCTTACCTCAGGAGAAAGCTCTTCCCTGGGTTGCATCTTCAGTGACTTGAACAGACTTACCCATTGGCCAGGTGAAACCCAGCCAAGAACTAAGTCACATCTCCAGCCTGAGATTCCTTGCCTTGATCTAAGTCAGCGCTCTTGAACCTCAACACTAATCCCATTTAGGGTTGCTCATTCTTTGTTCTAGAAACTTCCCTGTTATATTTTATAGCATTCCTGGCTTCTACCTTAGATTCCGGGAACAGTCTTCTCTCTCCGTTAGTGACAACCACCTCCATTTTGAGCACCAGCTACTGCTCTAAGCAAGTTAGGTGACTTATTGATCAAGATTATTTTCCAGGTTTTAGTTCTCTTTTAAAATATTTTACATATTTTAGGGGCTAGAGAGATGGCTCAGTGGTTAAGAACACTGACTGTTCTTGTAGAAGACCCGGGTTTGAATCCCAGCACCTACATGGCAGTTGACAACTGTCCTTAACTCCATTTCCAAGGGATCGGACAGCCTCTTCTATCCTCTGTGCACATTACATGACACAGGTGCACTTACCTACATGCAGGTATAACACTCATGCACATAAAATAAAAATAATAAATAAAATATATTTTTTAATATTTTACATATTTCAGATGTTTTCATAGCTTTAGAAAACATACTGCTACTTTGGAAGTGAATATAAGGACAAAGTTTTTCTTGATGTGAGAATTTAACATGATGACCTTTCAGTGGTGAAGACATTTTCTACACTGCAGGTATGGACCCATTAATGGTCATGAGATAGTTCAATAGGTCAGGAATCTGCATGCCAAGGTTCAGAGAGCCACAGTGTAACATCATTTCTTAATTTAAGCAACAGGAAAACAGGAAGCTGCTGGTCTAGGAAGTATCTGTGGCATGCCCAGCCACCTCCTTGAGCAAAAACTCTGCTAGTCAGCTAGTCAGATTAAATTGATCAAACATTCTTTGAAATGTGGAACATTAAAGAACGTTCACTGCAGCGTTAATGCAAACATTACAGAACGTTTACTGGAGACGTCCTTTTTACTTCGGTTTCTGGTGCGTGTCTTCTGCAGGGGAGGAGGAAGCCCCGAACTCCCGGCACATATTTTAGAGCATTCTTACTGCATCACTGTGAACTCACCATCTGTGTACTCTCTCTGCCCGCACAGATTCTGAAAAAAAGACAGCTCCATTTGAATTGTTTTCTTCATCACTGTGCATGCAAAAATTCTGCTTTTCATCAGTTAGTACTTTATTAACTTTTTTTAATGATAGGGCAAGAAACAGTCTGTAAATTTTTAAAAATTGAACAAACAGGCACATGAAGACATCTAAAAATGACTTCAGGCACTCTGCATGTACTCTATGTAACATTCATTTTAAAATAACAACCTTAGGGTTATATACTAAATGAGACATCTGCCATTTCAAAGGCACGGATTCAACTGTCAGGTAATTTTTTGCTATCTGAATTCCATCAGTACTTCCAGTTACTGCCTTAGCTTCTGCTTAGTTTTTAAAATATATTTTGAAGTATTTTATTATCCAGCAGTTATTTTTAAATATTGAAAGACTTCCAGAAATCACATTTTCATCTTCTGAATACTGAGAGAACCTTTCTGTCTACTTTTATAATAAAGAAACTGTTTTAGAATAGTTCCTTTTTCTTTCAAGGGAAAGTTTTAATGATTAGTCAAATGTTATTTATAGTTCAGTCATTTATTTTCACAGTCAAGATTTTTTTGAAAATATTTATTTTTTTATGTGTATGAGTGTAATGCCTGCCTGTAATGTCCGTAACTGTAGTTACGGACAGTTAGTTGTCAGTTGCCATATGGGTGCTGGGAATTGAACCTTGGGTCCTCTGCAAGAGCAGCCAGTGCTTTTAACTGCTGAGCCAACTCTCTAGCCTCATAGTGAAAGCTTTTGTATCTCTATTATTTTAATTCAAATGACAACCAGTAGAAATACATATTTTCTTGTAATTTCAAGAGACAATTATAGGATTGGGGGGGTATGTAATATCCCAAGTTTTATATTTGAAAAAAAATCAGTGCGTGTATTGCATACACCAAAACAATGCATTTATTTTATTCTCTCCTTAATTTTTAATATTATTGAGCCACTGTGGCTAGTTCTTGTGCATGAATGAAAGCAGGTATAGACTCATAGGTCAGTGTTGACTAAAAGCTAAACTCTTTATGAGAGGTGTTTGTTTTAGAAGTAGCATTTGTGGTATTGAGCTTCAAGAGTAGACTAACGTACAGGACTAACATGAATCGGAGAATAATATTTCTTGACCAGGAGAGGACAGGATTTCCAAGTATTGTCAAAGGAATTTGGGTATAGAGTTGTTGCTTTGTGGAAGTTTGAGTAATTCAAAATACCCCTGTTTCATTCAGCTAATAAATACTTAGCATCTACTACTTGCTAGATAGAACTGGGCTTTTAGATCTTTAATCCATTCTAGTAAATGATATCAGTAGTACACTGGTTATAAATAATAAATCAAGATCATAGAAATTCTGTTACAGATGTTTGTGTCCATAATGAGGTTAAAACTCAGAAGTGTCAATTTTGTTATAGCTTTTTCTGTAAGTACACTACTATTCCAGAAGATGACAATGATTAACTCTTTTAAAGGAGAAAGTGCTATTATTTTAAAGGGATACATTCATTATCCTGTTAAAGAGGCTAGCTGAATCCCTTGTTACTGAAGGCTGAATGGTACAATTGGATCAGCAGCTGAATTTCTTAAATGGATATGTAGTGATTCCTGGGCACTCAGTTAAAAATAAAGAGAAAGTGAATATGCAGACATTTTATGTTCACAGTGTACTGTTACTGAAATTTTTATATTCAGTTGCTGAAGAAATTTCTAGAACAAATAATTCCACTGCCAAGATAATTTGAAAGTCATTTTTTTCTTGATTTTTAGTAAACCATTAACCCCTTCCTCTCTCTTTCATTCTATGAAAAGGAAGTAAGATTTAGGAGGTAGATTTCAGTGGAATGTAAAAATAAACTTCATCAAATGTTGGTTTAATGCCTTCAAAAAGGGATACCTTAGAAGTCTAGAAGAGGGTCAATATCTGTATAATCTTTAGCATTAAGTATTGTTAGAAATCATTTGCTTCTCAGAAGGGATTTAAGCAGTGTGTGGTGTTTGTAAGATGAAACCAATCACATTTTATGTTTACGTTTACTTTGAATAGTTGTATAAATACATGCTGATATTCCCTTAATGGTGGAATTTATTGTAGTATATACTTAACTATGACAAAATGGTATGTACTTTTACTTACTCAGATCAGAAAGTCCCTTGAACATGTAAATTATATGAGTAATCATTGATTTTTTAAAAAATTTTATTTATTATTTTTACTTTATGTGTATAAGTGTATTGCCTGCATGTTTGTGAGTGTACCCGTGTCATGCAGTGCTGCGGAGGTTAGAAGAGGGCGTTGGATTCCCTTGGAACTGGAGTTAAGGATGGTTCGTAGCCGCCATGTGGGTGCTGGGAATCAAACCTGGGTCCTCTGCAAGAGCAGTCAGTCAGTGCTCTTAACCACTAAGCTATCTCTTCAGCCCCCATTGATTATTTTAAATTATGTGGGTACTCATCAATTCTTTTGACCTGTGTCACTGATTACTGCATGCTCTGTAAAGGAAGTACTGGTTGTATAAAATATGTGATGTCTTACATAGCTATAAGTATTATAAAACATCTTAAAACTTGTAAGCTTAAGGTGTAAGAATAATGTATTTCTTTTCCTTTTTTAAGGTGATGGGTGTGGACACACTGTGCTAGGCCCTGAGAGTGGAACCCTGACATCCATCAACTACCCCCATACCTATCCCAACAGCACCGTGTGTGAATGGGAGATCCGGGTAAAGATGGGAGAAAGAATTCACATCAAATTTGGTGACTTTGATATTGAAGATTCTGAGTCTTGTCACTTTAATTACTTGAGAATTTATAATGGAATTGGAGTCAGCAGAACAGAAATAGGTAGGACCTTTTCTTATGAATGTACATACGATGTATTGTTCCCTCAATTTTTAAAACTAAAGCAGCTTTTGATTTTTAATATTGAATAACTGATACATAAAGTGATATGTGAGGAGTTATGAAAAAGGTAGAACTCTCAAATTTGAATCCTCTTTTGAGAAGGAAAAAAATCTGTCTATTTGCTTTTCTAATAAACACATCTTGGTCGCCTTTGGTCAAGGCCCTTGTGTGCTGCTTCTAAGAACAAAGAAGTTAATTGTTTAAAATACATATTTTTTATGTATAAAAATAATATACATTTTCCTTTGATCATTTTATATATAAATGCAATTCATTCCTGCTCAGGAGACAGAGTAGTGTGGTGATTAAGAGCATGGGCTTGATCCAGACTTCTAGGATTGAAGCTCAACTCTGCCTTAGCAGAGTTACCTGACCTCTGTGTTCTTTCTCTTAAAAAACAAGGAATGAGCAAGTACTTAGAGCAGTGTATGATAACCAGTAGAAGCTGAGTAGATAGTAGCTGTCTGTTATCAAGTGTTAAGAGCAGCCATTCTCAATTAGAGCTATATAATAGAATCACCTGAGGAGACTTACTGTATTGTAAGCCTGCTTCCCATCCGAGATCAATGGAACTAAATTGATTGAATGAGACTGAGGCCTCAGATTTATAAAACCTTTGCAGGAAAGTCTGCTTTGCAGTCAAGGTTCAGAAGCTTTGGCTTGGAGATCAGTATCATTCTCTTAAGGAAGAAAGGCAGAAAACTTTTTAGGTCTGTTTTAGTGAACTAACACAGCAAAGAACTCTTGAATTTTCTGTTTATTTGGAAGGATTTATTAGAACCAATATGCAGAATATTTTTCAGAACTATAATAGAACCCAGTGTCTTGTTCTTCAAATGTCATACTCTGGCCATCTGACTGTTCCATCTCTGGCCAAGTCTTTCATCCCTTTTCTATTTTTTGACCTCTTATCCTCTAGAAGAAAAATTCCTAACCCATTTCCATGGCTGCTGATTGCTGATCTCTTTTGTCTCTCAGTAAATTCTTTTTAAAAAATTATGTTTGAGTGTTGTGCTTACATATCTAAGTACACCACATGCATACAGTGCCTGTGGCTTCCAGAAGAAGGCAATGGATCCCCTGGAACTGGAGTTATGGATGGTTTTTAGCTGCTGTATGCTTGCAACTGAACCTGGGGTGCTAGGAACCGAACTTGGATCCTCTGAAAGAATAGCAAGTGTTCTTAACTACTGAGCCCTCTCTCTAGCCCTTCTCCCTGTAAATTCTTGATTAGTTTGGTTAATCACCTCCTACATACTTGATCAGCATATAATACTGATAAGCTTGTCAGAACACAGCTAGCCGGGGAATGTGGAAACACTAGCATTGTAATACTAGTGTAAGACGTGGATAGGTGCCTCTGAAGGCGCAGCAGAGAGCAGGTAGTACTACCTGAGTGTTTTCGAAACAGCAGTAAGAAGTGAACTACCTAGTACTTGATGGGAAATAAAAGAGATGGAGAAATGAATTTTACATGCTGGCTATAGACTAAATTGAAAATAGCCTAGAGTCTATAGAAATGAATGGTATCTTTTCTTCCACATAATAATAGCATTAATAAAGGAGAAGGAAAAGGGAAGTGGGAGGGAAGGGGAAGGGAACTGTTACATTGAGGCACGTCTTCCAAAAGTAATGTTTGGGTCCTGGTTGAATCTTTTTAAAAAAATATTTATTTTATTATTTTTTGTTTATGTGCATGTCTGTGTGTGGGTATGTGCAATATGTGGGTGCAAATGCCCTCAGAGGCAGAAGATGGTGTTGGATCTCTTGGAGCTGGAGTTATATAGGTGGTTGTGAGCCATGCAACGTGGATCCTGGGAAAGGACTTGGGTCCTCTGGAAGGGCAGTAAGTGCTCTTAACTACTGAAGCATATCTCTACCCCTTTTGAATCTTGAGTCAGTGTAACTAATTGAAAGAAGATATTTTTAAGGTTGTCAAGAGACATTGGTCATTCACTGATAACAAAGAATGATGGTTTTAGATGTGAAAATGGTTTAATTACTTTTTAAAATAAAATCTACTTTGTTAGAGATTCTAAAGTGCAGTTGAAATGTCTAGAATTTAAGTATTTCTGGAAGAAAGGTAGGGGAGAAATAATACAAACAAAAGGGCCCATTGATGAGACTGCACAGTGGGCACTGAGGAGCTGTTAAGAACTAATATTTTCGACAGTTTCCATGATAAATCTTTTAGTAAGACAAGAGAATTGTATATTTAGAGGATTAGTAGTACATTGTTGTTAGGAATAGTGACATGGAAAAAATGGGCTATGTGGGTTTTAAATTGCTCTTTGAATCTAGTCAGCGCTCCAGGAGTTCCTTCCTGAGATTCCCATAAATCACTGAACCTGCCTGGTCTTCGGAGTCATCTTCTGTGCCTGGAAAAGTATAAAATGAAATAGAACTTGGGCGTGTGTAATCGGTGTTTAATAGTCTCCCCTATCTTTTATTTCCCATTTTGCTTGCTTTTCCCTTTTTTTTTCCTCTTTGCACAAGTGGATACAAAGCTATAGAAAGGTCAAAGGACTGAGTAATGATGTCTCTGCTGGACCTCAGCTGGTGCTTTCCCAAGCCCACACCACGGATACATACTAAGTGGTGCCCCATTATCATGTAGTTCATGGTAATTGGTACAGAGGGATGTGTTTCCTGACATATCACAGAGAAATAAAGATATTTTAAGAATAGCCATTTAATATTCTAATTGAGGTAGATCTGCAAAGAATTACAGAGTGAGAACAAATACATGCAGGTGTCAAGATTCCAGTGGTAGTGGTTCTGAGGACCCTGTCTGACCTTCTCTCACTGCCCCTTCAGGCGAAGCAGCCCCAAATGAGCTTCATTTCCCTGTAACAGTAGCCCCCATTTTGATATTAAAAATGAGGCTTTGAGCTTTATATGTGTTAATTTTAGGATTTTTTTTCCTAAGAAGCAGTACACTGGAAAAATCAAGGAAATGAATAGAAGAATGGTTTCATGAGAAATACTGTTTTAAATCGTAGACGTATTAGGATGTATTTAACTGACAATGTACTTTGGGGTTTACTTGGTGGTTGGGCAGTTATTTTAGGTTCTTTGAGAAAGAGATAATGTATCGTATTTAAACAGGACTTTTGTAACTGCTTTCTGAATTGCTAAACTGTTCAGAAAGAAGCCTTTGTAAAATAGCAGTGTAGTGATTCTCATTTCACATAGAAACACCGATAGACAGGTGGTGTGTTTAATGACAGAGTTAAGACTGGCTTTTCAGATATGAATTCTGTCCCTGTTTAGACAGATTGTATTGGAATAAGAAAATCTTAAGCCTTGACTTTTACTTTTTGATTATTTCTTTAATCCTTAGTGTCAGCACAGAATATTCTAGATTTGTCTTGTATTTTCTCTGCCCAGGTCAGATAGTCAACAATTTCTTCAAGCAACCTTTTTTTTTTTAATGTAGAATGGAATTAGAAATCAATGCCTGCTAGGTTTGAAACAGTGGGCTGCCATATCTCTAAACAGGGAGTCTTTGTAAATACATGTGTAGATATGCATAAATACGTAAATACTCATGTACACACTACATCTATTTTTGTTTGCTAACCACATTTATTAAAATGTTGCATTTATGCTGATATTTTAATCCTTATCCAGCTAGGATTCATGCTGTCCTTTTCATGTGTATCTTGTAACTCATTTCTAGTAGTGAGATAACTAGCTCTGGTGCTCAAACCAGAATTGCTAAGACTTGGCTCTGTTGGGCTTGTTCAGCCTTTTGACATTGTCACATGACATCATCTATAAAGTTCATGTTCAAGAGCTGTACAGTTGGGTTACAAAAACAAAAATCTCATAATGTTTTAAGTAAGTTTATAATTTTGTATTGGGTCACTTTCCTGACTGTCCTGGGGCACTGGCCACAGATTGGAAGTGTCTGCAAGGAGACCGTTATGTAGAAATATCTGTTTGGACTCTTTACCTCAGGGCATACTGTCTCAGTACTTTGTTAAAAAAAACTGCTCCCTCCTTCCTCTCCTCTCCTTCAATGTAGTTGTGTTGTTCATTTGAAGTATGACTTGATTCATTTGTTTCTGTTCATATTCCATTATAGATGTTTTTCTTCCATCTTCTTTTTCTTTTGTTGAGTGTGAAACATGATTACTCAGAAAGGTATATCAGGCAAGCTAATTTTCTAATTTCTTTTTCTTATACAAATCTTTAATATGCTATTCTTTTGCATTTGTTTTTCTCCCCCAGTTAGAGTAGGAATCCTGGAAATCATGTCACTTCGTAGAGAACACCTTCATTCCTTAGGGGCTGTGCAGTGCTCTAAATGTGCACCTGTCTAGTTTAATCACTTTTCTATGAGAAATACACCTGTTGCTTCTGATATTTTATAGTTGCAAACTTCTGTGTTCTTGGGGATTGAGTTTGGGGTAGATCGCAAAGTGCATTTCTGATCAGAAGGTAAGATGTATATATAACACTGGTAGATAGTGCCAACTTCCCTCCTTAATGGTGTTAACCAACTTGCATTTCCACCAGCAGTGTATAAAAGTGCCGATTTCCTTGCAGCCTTCTCAACAGGATGTGCTGTTGAGTTTCTGAAGATTGGCATATGGATACATGAGAAATAATTTCCCAGTACAGTTGTAAAATCTGCATTTCTTGAGTCAGATTGAATTTTTTCATGTTAAGGTTCCTTTTGTTGTTGTGTGAGTGTGTGTGTCCGTGTGCGTGTGTGTGTGTATGTATGTACGTATGAGAAAGAGAGAGTTGTGTCTGTGTGTGTGTGCTGATTTTCTCAAGAATCTGTCAAGATTCTTTTTTTTTCATTGTTAAATATTTATTTTATCTTTTTATTTTAAATATTTTTTTTACAATTAAAGTTACAGTTTTAATAATATACAAAATATTCTTTATTTTTGCATCTCTCTGGTTTTAGAAAATCCCTTACTTTT